CATATCTTTTGCTCTTTCTCTCTCTCACATTTCTTTCTTTCCTTCTCTCGCCTTTCGTTCTTTCTCCTTCTCTCACCTTATATAATCATTTTTACGTGCTGGAGTCGCGCTTAGCGGTCTCCATGCCGTGAAGGATGCTCTTTCCGTGAATGGATGAACGACCTTGTGGCTTCTGTCTTAGAGATACTCATGCGTAATCTCTGTCTCCCCCCCCCCCCCCTCTCTCTCTCTCTCTCTCTCTCTCTCTCTCTCTCTCTCTCTCTCTCTCTCTCTCTCTCTTCCTCCCTCCTTTACCCTCCATCTGCTTTCATGCCATTTATACATCTCTTAGTCCATCACGATATATAACCTCCTCTCTCAATATCCAGTTATGATCAACCGGAGAACAGACCAGAGCAATAATTGCTGTTTTTTAATGGTTCTCCACAGGCCATAAACAATGGCGTCAGCTGGGGATCGTGCTATTCTGAATTCAATCTTCAATCCTCTGTTACCTGTGGGCGAGTGTGTGTTTGAAGAGGATATCCCAAAGGAATTAAAAGGTAGTTTTTTTTTTTTTTTTTTTTTTTGGTATGTTAGGGTGATTTACTGTCATTTTTCTACATACCTGTCTCTGTCTTTGGATTTACGTCCGTTTATCGTGTTAATGTTTTGCCTTACGTTGTTTTTATGCTCTATTTCTATTTGTTCTTGCTGTTTTCCCTCCGTTTTAGTGCGCTTGACTCCCCCTCCCCCTTCCTTCTCTCCCTCACCTCCTCTCTTTACTTGTCTGATCCACGTAACAGTCGATCTATTAAATCATACGTTTAACCATCAAATGTTCAAAGGTTAAAATAACCCGAATGTACTGTTATATGCATGCTCTGAGTGGTTCCGAATGGCCTCGCACGTGGGAAGGGAAAAGGTTATAGAGTATGTTAAATTTGAGACTGTGCCAATGTTTCATATGATGTGTTGGCAAAGTAATGTTTTGGGTTGACGTGTGAACTGGGCGCCTGCCAGGAACTTACAAATATATATTTTTTCATTATCATCATGTATGGGTCTGATTGTCGTTTTCTATTTGATAGTTTCTTGATCAGTGTTGCGTAGATGTGGATGTTCGCTCATACATTAGGAAAAAAAATATCAATGTATTTAGAATTTAAGACTGAATTGTCGCAGTAATATATATATATATATATATATATATATATATATATATATATATATATATATATATATATATATATCAAATGCAAAAAACAATTCCATTTGAGGATTTTAAGGCTTGGTTTAATATCGCAAATAGTCTAAGTTGTCTCTATACTAGTACAATATTTATCTTCAGAAATTTCGCCTTCTTTGCTTTCATACTTTGTGTGGGGAATGTCTGACAAATCTGCTTAACCTACACACTGATAAATACCCATCCAACCCTGAACACTTCATAGCAGGACTTGTTTTAATGAATTGGGACGTTCTATTTTCCGTTTCCAGACCCCGATGATGCATCTCCAGACTGTGCTGAGGCCAAAGAGCAGGAGGTTTTGGGAGTGAAAGCAGCAGAAGCAGGAGACGTAGAGGGCGCCCTTGTTCATTTCAACAGAGCCATTGAGATAACCTCCTACAGACCGTCCGGCTATAACAACAGAGCCCAAGCTTTGAGGCTGCAGGGCAAGGTTGAAGGTCAGAAAAATTAATGTTACATGTGTACCCCCTCTCTCCCATCCTTTCTGGCTGTGTGTGTGTGTGTGTGTGTGTGTGTGTGTGTGTGTGTGTTTGTGTGTGTGTGTGTGTGTGTGTGTGTGTGTGTGTGTGTGTGTGTGTGTGTGTGTGTGTGTGTGTGTGTGTGTGTGTGTGTGTGTGTGTGTGTGTGTGTGTGTGTGTGTGTGTGTGTGTGTATTCGCGTCTGCGTGTGCTTGCGTGCATGTGTGTGGTGTGTGTGGGGGGGTTGGACGGTTGGACGGTCGGTTGGTTGGTCCGTTCCGTCCGTCCATCCTTCCGTATATTATTTCAATAATATTAAAGCAGCCCTTTATCTTTTAGTTTACTAACTTCAGGTATTAAGAGCAAAACGGAGATCCTTAAAGCCCATAACCACATGAAAAGTCAACTGGAAAAAACATTATCTATGTACAGCATTTCCCAATTATTTTCCTAAATCAACAGAGGCAATGGCAGATCTCAACACAGCAATAGAGCTCTCCAAAGGCAAAGGACGAGCTGCCTGCCAAGCATTTACACAAAGGGCCATGATCCATCGCCTGCAGGGGAATGATGATTTGGCAAGGGAAGATTTCCAGGCTGCTAGCAATCTCGGCTCAGAATTTGCCAAAGCACAGGTAAGTAATTCTGATATAGAAAGGTACATTTGAAGGTATGCCATTCAGAGGGGTCTCAGACCAACTGTGTTCATTAAATATTTTTTAATCTAAGCTTTCATATCTAACATAAACCTCAATATTTTCACTTTATTGCATTTGTCATGAGACAGAGTGCATTAACGTGAATATATTGATGCTCATGTTATAGATGAAGGTTTAAATTGACTAAACATATTGTCAGACAACTGGTCTGATACCCCTTTGGACATGTACACCTTCATTTATTACATGCAGTGTTTGTAAAGAAATTTCTTCTCCTGCTATCAAGGTGGCAAGTTCCCGATGCTGGTCTCTACTAGTAATTCAACTTAGCATATTTTTATTGTGCTAGTGCCTGTGCCTTGTTATTCACTTGCAGTCAACATATTCAGACTGGTGGATGGTTTACAGCTTACAGTCAAAGAGTGCTTGTTCTAAGTTGGTAATCAAATGCATAGGTCTGTATGGCATGGATGTATAAAGACAGGGCACAGTAACACTTGCTTTCACATCATGTTTTGAATGGCTCCAATAAATCTTTACAAATATCTATGTGCTAGGTGAATTATTTTTTTTTGGAATTATAAATTTGTATATTTATTATTTACAGCTTGTGCAAATGAATCCGTATGCAGCTCTGTGCAATAAAATGTTGCACGATGTATTTAGCAAACTCCAGCGTGGCGAGTGTGCAGGTGTCTGATGTCCCTTCATCAAGTTATGTTTCATCAAGGGAGAAAAACTACAACTTCACTGTCACAAGGACCTTTTGCAGTGACTTTACTTGTTAATTTCAACAAGCCCAAGAAATTTGAAATAATTTGTATATTACATTTATATAGTGTCCAAGTGATGTTTTTTGGGGGCTTACCAAAACATCTTTTACATATTTACTCTAACATTGTGTGAAGTTCCATTGAGTGTACATTTAAATGTTACATTTACATTAGATACATAAATTTGAGAAAATAGCCTCGATATAATGTATGCAAAGAAAAACTTTTTTTATACTTATGGGGAAAACTGCAAGAAGATAGAGTTTGATATGCAAACAAATAGATTCTTATTGGATTCAGGATTCATTATATTTACTTTGTCACAGAATCTTTTAATATTGAAAAATATATTTCTTCTAACATATATTTGCTGGACCTCATACTAAAATCTCTCCAGAGAACAAATCTTAGTTTATACTGTCCATTAATTAGGAACAGGTAGTTGCATGTGTAAGATGCTGTGTAAAGGTTTGTGTAAATCACTGTTATATATATATTTTGTGTATAAAATAATTTTCAGAAATTATTATCTCTAAGACCAAAAGCACGTGTAGTCCCTATTTCTGATACTTCATAAATAAAGTTGACTATGTCTTTGTATTTTTCTTCACACTTTTGGCAGATGGTCACTTTCTAAACATGTATAAAAAGAGGCTGTACTACTACAGCAACAATCTCTGTAATCCATACAAACTTGTGCATAGTATAGATAATAAAAAGAAACGACTGCAATTCTCATGTTTTAATAATTACAAAATAATACCCATCCTACTTCTTGGTACAGAATGATAAAGTGAGTGAGGTTAAGATCTCAGCACTTCCAACTCCAACATCATTTGAATGCCCTGTATCACAGCAGAACTTTGATGCAAACCATGATATGCAAATTACCTTGAGGATACTGAACTACAAGTAACTTACCAGTAATCTGAATAAAATTGATATCTAAAATGTTTTTAATTTTTTTTTCTACACATCTAAACCAGGGCTTCATTTAGACTTTACAATAAAAAAAATTCTTAGTTTAGTTTTCTTTATCTCTACTGCTTCTCAAGGCATACTTTGATACAAATGAAGACAATATTACAAAGTTCCTTACACAACGTAACTGGTGTTCACAAACAGGATAGGCAAATTATGGAAAAGATGCCACAGTGAGATTCCATATACAAAACTCACAAGAGGTTAAATAATCGCTCTGAATAATGTCAAGGAGGTGAAACGAGAAGAAGAAAAAGAAGGAAAAAATTTGAATAATTTTTCTGCAGACTGCATCTTTATTACCTTTCAATTACGAGTGTCCATTAAAAACAAAGAGTCACGTAACTTTCAATAAGTTAACAAAAATTCTTGGTTACATGAAAATCTGCCCAAAATGAACCATGGGATTTTGGAAAGGACTGGAAGCCTGATGAAGTTCTATGCACTGTATATGTACCAGAAAGAAAGCTTAGAAAATAACATACAAGAATAATGCTAAATTATCAAACTGGTATATAAAATAGTATTTTAAGTCTCTGACAACATCTCTTACCAATAATCCCTTTATCACCAAAGAAGCACACTTGCACAGGGCTAAATTTTGTGATGATAACAAGCTCTACCAATCAGAGCTAATCTTAAGATGAACTGCAAATGTATCTAAAACAAGTTGAAATACTTCTGCACTTATGCACCTCTAAGGTAACAGAGAGATTCACTCAAATAGATATATATTATTGGTAAACAATGTCTCCCCAAGATAAATTACTCATATATTATTTTGAAAATAAAATTTTTATAGATCTTGCTAGATTTCTATAATTAACCATACCGAACATCAACAAACATTCAGTCTATTATGTCGAATTTTAATCAACCCCAGGACACACTGAATACCTTGTATAATATCTCATGTATAATAGTACATGCCACTAACCGACCTTTACTGTATCGCTTTCCCCACCGATTATTTCAGGAATAAAATGTAAGTAGAGTAACTTTATGAACAACTGCTGTCTTCTGCTAAAACATCTTTTTCATCTTCTTCTCCGTCATCTGAATTAATATCCTTTTTAGATTCCGCCTTTTCGTCACCGGTTTCATGCGCACCATCTACATCTTCTTTTTCAATTATTTCAAAAGCTTGTGAATTTGAATTTTCCGAATCTGTTTCACTTCCTGCAGTCTGGTCCTTGCTATGACCCCTGGAAAAGAGGAATAATTATCTTTAAAAGGTCACCATAAAGCTTCAGGAATTCATAGATACTGTGTAACTGAAAATACAAATTCATGTCCATGCATTCTGAAAAACACAGTAAACAAAATGCTAAACATCATGGTGGTCTACATAAATTGCAGTCAAAGCAATGTGGTTTTATGTTCTATGAAGACTGAATAGAATCTCTGTACGTCCAATAATGACCATCCTAACAATTAATGAAATGAATTATACATGACTTCATACCCAATCAGATCTAATTACTTTCTCAGCTCAAATGAAGATTTCAGTTGGTCTACTAATTACAGACTATACATTTCTGGGAAATACATAAAAGGGAGAATAAACGCAAACTTCTGCAAACCAAAACAGAACACATTCCATCTTGAGGGATCTCACCTGTCCACGTCTGTCTCAGGTTTATCCGTCTCTGCAGCCGTGTCTGGACTATCTAATCCATTATCACCATCAGATTTTTTACCAGAATCATCTTGTTCCTGATCATCATCGTCTTTGCTTGTTTTCTTCTTTTTCTTCTTCTTTTCATAACCTTCACCACGGTACTCGTACTGCAAATGCAAGGGTAACAAAATAGTGCACAGTGCAGTGTGAAGTGTACTCTGTATTTGGTTAGTGCAAAGTACCTTTGAAATATGTAAGTACTATGAACATCATGTGTTGTCTAGAGAAAAGAAAGGAAACTAGGAAATTTTCAACAGAATAGCAAATGAAACAGATTATGATTATCTAATAGAGATTTATCAAAAGATAGATCAAAACCATTCAGACTGTCAACATAAATCATTTAAAGTACTAAGTAGCTAAAACCTTAGGACTATGAACAAATTGCTCATTTCATAAAAGAAACTTCTGAGCTGAAGAGAAAGTATTTCTAAAAATCTAGTAATTGAAATTAACAGATCACAGTACACAACTCAATTTCACTTTATAATATTGATTTATTTTCAAACAATACAATCTCCTTCTCATTGATATTTTTGTTCTGAAGGATGGGAAGGAAATTTGATTCAAGTCAGGGATAAACATCTTTCACTGATATTAATACAGTATGATAAAAGGGAAAGTATATATACAGAATAAGACAAAAATAAATAATTGAATATATAACCAAAAATAAGCAGAAAAGCAGAGGTGTAGATCACATCCATTTTTGAAAACAAAAAACTAAAACTCTACCCTTTGCAAAAGTACACAATAAACAGAACCCTGGTCACTACTATACTTGACCCTGAACATCAAGCTCCCAACACAACACTGCAACTTACATGGTACAGAGGCCAGAATGAGGCAAAGAACCCAACGTCCTCGGTAAGGTTGGGCAGCAGCCAGAGGTGGTGGTATCCCATGCTCAAGACCCAGACGATGATAAAGATTATGAACCGGTTGACAGCCAAAGCCAAGATCACTCCTAAGAATCCTGCTGCTGCTACACTCAGGTAGTATACACATTTTCTGCAGAGAGAGAGAGAGAGGAGAGAGAGAGAGAGAAAGAGAGAGAGAGAGAAAGAGAGAGAGAGAGAAAGAGAGAAAGAGAGAAAGAGAGAGAAAGAGAGAGAAAGAGAGAAAGAGAGAAAGAGAGAAAGAGAGAGAGAGAGAATTTTAAAAAATGGAAATTTGTCTTACCGAACACCCGGAGGCCACAAGGGGAAGAGGCACACAGCAATCGCACCAATGAGGATAAGCCCACCAGCAATATAATACCAAAATGGAACTGGGTCGTACATCCAAACGTATGCGTCTGTACCATCTATAAATTCCTGGAAACAGAGAGAGAGAGAGAATTTTAAAAAATGGAAATTTGTCTTACCGAACACCCGGAGGCCACAAGGGGAAGAGGCACACAGCAATCGCACCAATGAGGATAAGCCCACCAGCAATATAATACCAAAATGGAACTGGGTCGTACATCCAAACGTATGCGTCTGTACCATCTATAAATTCCTGGAAACAGAGAGAGAGAGAGAAAGAGAGAGAAAAGAGAGAGAGAAAAGAGAGAGAGAAAAGAGAGAGAGAAAGAGAGAGAGAGAGAGAGGAGAGAAGGAGAGAAAGAGAGAGAGAAAGAGAGAGGAAAGAGAGAGAGAGAAAGAGAGAGAGAAAGAGAGAGAGAGAAAGAGAGAGAGAAAGAGAGAGAGAAAGAAGAGAGAGAGAAAAGAGAGAGAGAAAGAGAGAGAAAGAGAGAGAAAGAGAGAGAGAGAGAGAGAGAGAGAGAGAGAGAGAGAGAGAGAGAGAGAGAGAGAGAGAGAGAGAGAGAGAGAGAGAGAGAGAGAGAGAGAGAGAGAAGAGAGAGAGAGAGAGAGAGAGAGAGAGAGAGAGAATTTTAAAAAATGGAAATTTGTCTTACCGAACACCCGGAGGCCACAAGGGGAAGAGGCACACAGCAATCGCACCAATGAGGATAAGCCCACCAGCAATATAATACCAAAATGGAACTGGGTCGTACATCCAAACGTATGCGTCTGTACCATCTATAAATTCCTGGAAACAGAGAGAGAGAGAGAGAGATCAGTACTGTTTCTGATGTGAGAGCAAATTTAGATCAAGTCCGACATAAACAGGCACAGATTTGTAAACAATGTATTTTGCCTTTTCTCATCCTCATGTGATAAAAATGTATATAAGACAAGCAAGTCCAGTCTATTATATATATTCCTTCACATACCAATAAAAAAAAAATATATACTGGCATACTTATACATTTCAGTTTTAGATAATCTTTTCCTCTTTGCTGCTTCTCCCTATCCTACTTGCACTCCCATTATAACTTTTTTTTTCCTTGGTTAGTCTCTTATGTAGGACACATAAATCATACATACTATTAACCCAACTGCCCCAGATTTATGTTCTGTCCCCCGTAGTATTTTGTGAATGTTGTTACATACAGATGGCTCCACATGTGCTCAGCCGGTAAGGAGTCTATCAGTAGTCCTAGTGACTGATCCTAATTTCCCCATTCCTTGAATTGGTGGGAAAATGTGTTTTTCTTTTTAATACACTTGACACCAATACTGTTATTATTGTTATTGATGTTATGATTATTAAATTGTTATTAAAATCTCTATAACATTTAAGAATATGAAATAATGCAAAAGACTCTTTCTAAAAGTTGAGGAAATGGGTAAACACGTGAGATAGGTAGGACTAATAACTGACTTCTTGGTAACTAAGCACTTGTAGAGCCATCTATGTGTAAATACAATAAATAAACTTATATTACATTAGCCATGGCATGAATTCCTGCCATATGTGGTGATTGGATTAATGGGTAAAACATTTTTTCTATTCCCTAGTAGTAGTAGCAAAAACTAGGGAAAGAAGAACTGTTATTCATCCCCTTGGATCTGGGTGACGTGATCACCATGTCATGAAAAGATCTGGCTTGAAGGCCGGGTGATGTGAAAATGCCCTTATGGAAAAGTTTGGCCGAGAGCCAGAGTGACGGTGAGCGTGCTATCATGAGCATTTCAGCTGAAGGCCGGAGTGCTGGGCATGACTTGCCACAAGTGCACAAATCTCTTGGAGGGATTTGATTCAGGGCTATTTAGGAAGGGACTCTTGCATTATTCTTATCAGTAAACAAGTGTAGAATGTACCATCCGTGAGCCATGCTCAAGGTCCTTTTCCTGCCCACAATGACCAATGATGTAGATTGTATTACAAGAAATAGAATATGAATAAAAGAAAGAAAAAAAAAGTATATATAATAAAATCAATTATTGTTATTATTATTATGCTGAGTTCTGGACTACCTAGAGAGATGACATGAAGTGTATACAAGAAAAACAGTCTATTGCAATCTGGATAAAGAATATCAAATGACAAATATAAACCGGAAAATGGTAAAAAAAACAAATAATTATTAAAGAGAGAGTTGACAACATTGCAAAGGGGAGGCAAGGAGTCTTGGACACAGCATATGCTCATGTGCACCTGGCCTATAAGCTACACACCTATGAGAGAGGCCACTCAAGTAAGCCTAATGCCCAGATTTTGGGTCATGTGCACACAGCAAAGCACCTGGATTCAATTAGTTAACTGAATTTTTTCATTAAAATCTTTATAATACTTTGTCATAAAAACAAACAAACTTACATAAGAAACTGTAATAACAGATTATGTTGATAAATTTTGCAGTGCTAAAAATTTACATTTTTTCAGACACCAAGACTTACTTGGTCAAGATGCATGTCAAGTTTGATCTTTTTCTTTTTCTTCTTCTTTTCCCTCTCCTTCTCCTCATCCTTTTCTTCATTGTCTTCTGTTTTGCTTGCTATCTCTTCCACTTCCTTTCTGCCCTCTTCTTGAGACTCCTCCTCCTTTGTTTTCTCCTCTTCCTTCTTCTTCACTGCTTCTTTCTTCTTCTTCTTTTCCTCTTCCTTCTCCTTTTCCTTTTTCCTCTTCAAGTCTTTTGGTTTCAGGTCCTTGTCGGTGATCGGAATCTTCCGAGCCCGATGGAAGAACTTGTGTTTTAACAGCCTGAAATAGATAATTACAAATATAGTTAAATCGTGATAATATAAGCAAAAGTATGAAATAAATAAATAACTAGCAAAAGTGTATTATAAAAAAGTCATGTTATGGTTTCAAAGAATAAAAGATCATATGATTAAGGGAACCTTACTTGTTGCAGTATTCCACAACAGACTCCCGGTCCGTAAAGAGGATATCCTTGCCAGTGGCCCATGGTGAATCCAGGAGAATATCAATGGCCTTATTTGCTGGAGGGGAACAGAAAAGAGGTCAGTTTATATCCCAAACTTCTGACAACTTAGGGCAATTCTTTAACTGCAGTCCAGAGCAGTCAACACAAAAATTCAGACATGTTATTCAAAGAAGTCTATAAAAGAAATCTCAAGAACTATTTAATGGTACAAAGATATTACTTCTTTAAGATGCTTACAAGCTATAATACATACCAATGGAACTGTTAATGAAAAACTGATTTTTTTTTGTTAAAGCAACTAACAACAACCACTCCCTTCCAAGTCCTCACACTCTAACACCTCCAATTAGAGTGTCACAACCTATTCCATAAAAACAAGGAGAAACCCGAATGGGATACAAACAACACATCCGTCATCGATTCATTTACGTTACATTGGTCCCTATATGACACCACTCTTTCCTTTGCCCTGACAAGAGATCAACTTACCATAGAAGTAGTTCACTTGATGATTTAAGAACTTTGTCCTCTTAACTGGACAATGCTTCTTCAGGTAAGTTGCAACAGCATATTCCTGTTTTTCTGGCTTTTCCTCTACAGGAAGAGGAATATCCTGAAATGATATCGGTAAAATTAAAGATTTCTTTTGTGGTAAAGATCTAACTGGCAAATAAACTTTCAAGCAATGCATCAAGTTTCTGTCCTTTTCAGCAGTTACTGCCAACCTCACTCTTGGGAACATTATCATCTGGCAAATTGTCCTGTTCTAAGGTGGCTGAGGCTCTATATATGTAAGTGTATTGAGATTCATGTCTGTCCTTGTATGTGGAATACCAGTTTATGTCTATGTAGATGCACGGAGTATAAATAAATATTATATATATATATATATATATATATATATATATATATATATATATATATATATATATATATATATATATATATATATATATATATATATACATACATACATAAATATATATATATTAGATTGATGTGCACAGGTATGACTCTTAAAAACCTAACAATTTAGTAACCCTTTCTGAAGTGTTTACTTTGTTTATCTCCAAGTAATAACTAAATAATGCAGGATAAATATAGTCTGCCTCCTCAATTTGTGTGCAGTAACGTTTAGTGCAAATACACTGCATATGCTACTCATTCCTAAGGGGCACGCTATGAATGGCAGAAGAATATACATTAACCAGACTATATATGTCAATTCTAAATATAATCTACCTATATGTAAGAAAACCTAAAGATCATCAAATCCCTGTAATTCGGTAAAGGTGTGCGCACACAAAAAATATATATATATAAATAAATATACATTATATATATATATATATATATATATATATATATATATATATATATATATATATATATATATATATATATATATATATATATATATATATATATAATAAAAAATGTATCCTTCCTCTTTTCCTGCTTACTTCAATCTGTAGCAAAATCCCAATGCATATACAGGAAATTAGCCCAGAAAACATCCTCTGGAGTATATGATTGTTGTTCAGAATTTATCACACCCTTCAGCGTCTTTGAAGTAATGACATTTTTTCCATTTTTCACTCTGACAAGACTGTTAAGAGAATAAAATTTAAAAGCACAAGCTGCACTTTCAATGGATTTTCTGAATCAATGCTGGGACATACACCTCTTTGTAATAATAATGATGATGATGAAAAACAGAAAGTATAAAAGTCAGTGTACAGCACTGACTATTGTCCTCAATATCACATTTTTGCCTTTATTTTTATGGAGATTTGTTACACATGCATAATATAAATAATATAAAACTTGTATTATTAGCTTACTTTCTGACTGTACATTCGAGTTTCTTATATACTTGAAAACTCCAGAGAAAATAAAATTGCACTTTCTATTTCTCTTAAACTCATTACCTGTAATAACTTTACCCTGCACAAAACATCCCATAAATTATTAAATGATTAAGAGTAAACTCTTATTCTTCTGAGTTTATACCTTCCACCCCCACAAGTGCTAATTTTAGTACTGACAGTTACCTCCATAAGGTATGACCTTACCTTACCTTACTCTTCATCTGCTTTGACATAATGGTCCAGTTACTTATCCATTTATTCTATACTGAAACATTTCAAGCTATAGCATAAATTCTTCAAAGTCCACTTGCGATGCTAATAACTTCTGCATCAGATAATACAGGTAGAATGTATCTTATCATAATTACTAAATAGACTGACATAAAAAAGTAATATAAAAAAAACAACTCATTATCCACACAGTTCTTTCCCTCCCTTCAACTAATAATCACATCTTTAGCTGGATATCCACCTAGAGAAAGAAAAAAAGAGAAAGAGAGAGAGAAAAAAATAGGGCGAGGGAAAAGTGACAGAAAAAGGAGGGAGGAAGACTAAGGGGAAGACAGGGAGAAAGGGAAAGGGAAGGGAAGGAAGGAAGGAAGGAAGGAAGGAAGGAAGGAGAGAGAGAGAGAGAGAGAGAGAGAGAGAGAGAGAGAGAGAGAGAGAGAGAGAGAGAGAGAGAGAGAGAGAGAGAGAGAGAGAGAGAGAGAGAGAGAGAGAGAGAGAGAGAGAGCAAACTTAAAACTAAAGATCAAAAAAATCTTTTTGTCATTGTCGACAATGTTCTAAAATCTTCTGAAAAGCTATAACACATGTAATAACTATCTTTCCTCTGATGCTCTGAGGTGCATATAATCTGAAATATAGAGGAATTAAGACATCATATAAAAATAATACAACATTCCTGTACGATGCTAAGATATCAACAGATAACAAAGCAAACAAGTCCATACTGTACTTTGATAAACAGCCTAAGACAATCTCGAACATTTAATGGGAATCTATGTATTACTGACACTGAAACTGATTTTCTTTTCTATCTTTTTCTTAACAAACACAAAAGAGCATGAAACTTACACCTGAAAGCACATTCAAATCCTAAGAATACTTATGTATTTACATACTCATATATAGATAAAAGCAGAAGTCAAATTCCTCAGTATGGAAAACGAAAGAAAGCATACCTCATAACTTTCTCACTCTTACTGGAAAAAAATAATTGGATAAATAAACAAACAAATAAAAAAATAAAGGAAATAGAAAATGGATACCATAAACAAATCAATGAGAATGGAACAACATCCACAAAGCAACACAGGCATGCACACTTTCCATTAACGGGAAAAAAAGGTACATGAACCAATGCTAATTTCTATTTATTAGACTTGATCATCTGGCCAACTATCCCTCAAGGTTTTACTATCATGGGGTTTTAAAACTTTCATTTCCATACAGAAGTGTTTCATTCATATATGGAGCGAAATGTAAAAAAAATTGTGTATGAAAAAATTAAGAACAATAATGATAATCACAATCAGAATAATAATGATAAAAAAGGAGTACCTTTGCATCTCCAACAACAAAATAAAAGAGAAACAATCAAGAATTACAGAACAAGGTCATACTATCACAAACAAAAAAAAAAAAAAAAAAAAAAAAAAAAAAAAAAAAAAAAAAAAAAAAAAAAGATAAATAATAAAATAATAATAATAATAATAATAATAATAACAAAAAATAAATAAATAAATAAAAGTCTTGCAATATAACTAGGTTTATATCATTTACAAGAAAGCCTCTTTAATAAAGAAAAAAATCAAATAAAACAATCAACATAAATGTTATTCAATTAATAAATTCCAACACAATCAGTGACAACACGTGAGTCATGTCGTGCTGTATAAGCCATATCTTGTGCTTTGCCTCCAAACAAACAAATTACATATATATATATATATATATATATATATATATATATATATATATATATATATATATATATATATATATATATATGCACATACACACATACATATTTGCTTGATCAAGGAATATTTAAGCAATGCCAAAATCACATACAGAGAAATAGGGAAGAAAAAAAACATAATAATCCATGAACAAATTGTGGTAATAGGTAAAATCAAGAACTCAAATCAAGGCTAGTCCAACTTAAAGCAACATTACATTTATAAGTTATCACCTCATCTTTTGGTGGAGAGCAGCGTTTTATATAGGGACCCTTGGGATCCTGGTCATCCTGCGATAGAAGCAACAGGGGTCATCTCAGGTGGGACAAAAGACGTTCATTTGGGCACAGGACAAAGCTTAAGTAAAACTGCATACGCTACATTACACAACCCCTTGAGTGAAACTTGTTAAGATTTTCATTCACTTTAATCTGTTCGGCTTACTTATGTATAGGATTTCCGGTCAATCTGTTTCCTATTTCCCGACATCCTGAAGTCACTTTTCACAATATATCAAAGGGAATTCATCTGGCTAGATCTACCATGTATCATGTGCATCTCCTATGATCATTAGAGTAAATAACAATATTCAATTAACCCCTCTGATCCGGATGACATGACCATCACTTCATGAATAAAGCTCGCTTGAGGGGCGGATGACACGAGCATACCGTCAAGTGAAAATTTAGCCGAGGGCCACGGTGGCACAAACTTGCCATCATGAGAATTTTGGCTTAAGGCTGGGGTGACAGAAATGACTCACTACAAGTGCACAAAACTGTGATTTGACTCAGTAGGCATTTAAGAAAGGACTCTTGCATCAGTCTTTCTGGCAAAAGAGTATGGAATGTACCATCCATTAGCCATGACTGAGAGTGCCTGCTCCAGGCAGGACGCTAATTTCATGCTCAGAATCCTATTCCTGCCAGCCTTGATCAGCAGTGCAGGTCGCTTTACATGAAATTGAATATCACACACACACACAAAAAAAAAATTAAAAAAAAAAAAAAAATAAAAATAAATAAATATAAATAAATAAATAAAATAAATATATAAATAAATAAAAAATTATAAATAGCAACACAAATAACAAAATGTTACTTATTGTTATCATTTCACTGAGTCATGGACTACCTCGGGATATATTGGAATCTATTACCATCAGGATACAGCTTATCAAATGACAATTATAGACATTGGAAAATGGCAAAAAAAAACAAAACAAAAAAACAATTGTGTTGAAAAAGAATAATAACTTTGCAAAGAGGCATGGAGTCTCGACTTCACCCCTAAGTGTTTGTATGTGCTTGGCCTACAAGCCACACAGCCATGAGAGTAGCCACTCAAGTATTCCTAATGCCTGGATTTTGGGTGATGTGTGGTCAGGGAAGCACCCGGATCCAAGGGGTCAATAGCAATCTGCAACTACCTGACACCACAAAATGAAACTTTGCTATCATTAGACAAAGTGATTTCTACTTAACCCAATGCCGATGGGTATGGCATGTATGTACATACTATGTTCACTGTGAGTTTACTTGTTTAATTGTTTTTACATATAGATGGCTACACTTCTACTAAGTCACCAATGAGCCAATTGCGAGTACTGCCAGTCTCTCATGTTTAACCTTTTCCTTTTTTTCAGTTTAACGTCATGAAACTCTCTTTTTGATCAAGAGCTAGGATGGGCCTGCCCCGTGAAGGATAAGCAGGAATTGGCAGGTGGAGACCGTTACCCCGAGTGGATGCCCTTCCTAACCTCGGACTGTGGCCGGGGTTCGAATCCCTGCGCTTGCAGACCCTCCGGCCCACAGCCACTGTACCACGGCGGCCCCCCGTTTACTCTTTTCCTTGATTTACGAAAATATTTTACACCATCTTATTTAGCTGTTACTAAAGTTTATCACAGTTTATCACTATTCATAGTACTAGTAAAAAATATGTTTTTCAAGGAAAAGTGAAATCTGGTAAGGTCCAACTACTAAGTGACTCCTTTCTAAGCACTAGCAGAGATATCTATGTGCAGAGACATTTCACAAAAATATAAAAAATGAGTACAGCATTTTCTCCATTTTTTATTCATTTTCCCCAACGGCATCGGGTTAATCTGTTCTATATTCAGATTAGTTATAGATATTTATAAATATAGACAGATAAATGTGTGTGTGTGTGTGTGTGTGTGTCTTTACATATATACTGTCCATTGTAGTTTTGTTTTGTGAATTTTGTTTACAGACTGATGGATCCACAAGCTTTCAGTTGTCAAGAATTAAAAAATGGGCCCTTTGTCTTCGTGACTTCACCTGCTTTCCTGATTCGTTGATTTTTTTAGATTTTTTTTTTTATGTGTTATTAATATTGATACTGCTAGTATAATTATTGACATTGTGATTAATTATTAATATATTATTTATAATGTTTATAAAATAATAATAGTAATTAAAAAATATATATAACAAATTTTAAACCTTTCTGAAAATCAAGGGAAAGTGTAAACAGGTGAGACAGACAAGATTAATAATTGACTATTGGTGAATGAGCTCTTGTCGAACCATCTAAACAAAACCAAAAAACTAAAATCACAATTTAAAGGTTACATACGCACATCCCATCCCAGAGTCAATGGGTTGAAAACTAGTAAAAAGGACAAATAGAAAAAAATTACCTGCCCGTCACACTAATTCTTTTTTGGCATACTTTTATTCTGCTATACATAACAAAACAAACATATACCATTTAAGCAACATATATAGCATACAATTATCTAATATAATAAACTAATAATCATCTTAGTCTATCATATATCAACATTTTACCCTTAAGAAAATTAGACTTTAGTAAAAATAGCTATTAAAAAACACACACACACACAAAAAAAAAGACATTGATATCAAAACTTAAATAACCTGACACATCATTAGGACCAGTGCAATAAAAAGAACATGTAATCTCACTGACTATATCCCAATGATACAATCATCTCAAATAATTAGCTGATTATATGATCTTTAATTTCCCCTCCTTACACATTCCCCATTTTCAAAATCTGTGACCAATGATGCCATACTGTGATTACTATACGTTGGAAAATATACCCGTCACACACTGATCTATTACGTCATGTTTATACCATCTTATTTACTGCATGAAGCATTCACTTGCTTGGATAAAACAGAGGATCCTGCACCCTCAATATGTCTAGTCATGATAACCAGAATATGAGGCACATGAGGAAAGTTAAGAGATAAACATGCCCTAGATATGTGAGTCAGCATTTTGAGTGGAAAACATGCCAATATTATCAGCATGAGTTCAGTTCATACGGCAGTGTTTGTGAATTCCCAGAGTGCCCTCAAGATTACTGGCTCAAGTAATAAGGACTTAAGCTCATATTCAAAGATACCTTGGACACCTTAAACGTAGAGCTGGACCAGCATCTAACACCCGTCAGCCAATGGTGATTGCCAGACTGGGAAAAGATACTGGTCCGGATCACCGTTTAACCGTTTTGCTCCAGATGGTTTAACAGATGCGCAGTGCTTGTGTACGAGGCATTGCTTGCAAGCGGTAACTTTGAATGTGTCATCTTATCAAATACAGTTTCTTCCTCTTTCACTCCCCTACTTACTCACTCACACACACACACACACACAAAGTAGAAAGGGAAGTTTTGATGAAGTCTCAAGTTCATTTCATGGTCAACTAAGGTAAACACTCTCTTTTCCTCTCCCATCCCTGGTGGAGGGGTAAGAGATGAAGTAAAGGATAGGGGGATATGGAGGACAAGGGTAGGGCCACAGAGGGGGATCACTGAATATGAGCATTAGTCTCAGAAGGGTGCAATTTCTTTGTAAACACTTTCTGAATTGTATTCAAGAGGAGCAGAGGTAATGTGATCTACCTGGTTACCAATATTTCTACTTTTAACCCTCTGATGATGGATATGTGCACGTCAGACTCATGTGGCTGCCTGTATGAAAAGCCTGGAATGTGGCTTAGTATGGCATTAGGAAATGCTGAGGTGAGCGAGTTTAGTAATAATTACAGTATTAATAATTTTGATGTAAGAAATAGCAATAATATTAAAGATCTGAAAAAAAATTATAGCAAAAATGATAATAACAATACTAACAACAAAAACAACAGCAATAATAACAACAATAATAATAATAATAATAATAATAATAATAATAATAATAATGACAATAAAAATAATAATAGTATTAATAATAATAATAATAGTAAAAATGAATAACAATAACAATAACAGTATTAGTAATAATAATAATAATAATAATAATAATAATAATAATAATAATAATAATAATAATAATAATAATAGTAAAAATGAATAACAATAACAATAACAGTATTAGTAATAATAATAATAATAATAATAATAATAATAATAATAATAATAATAACAATAATAATAATAATGACAATAATATTAAAAGAAGATAATGACATAAATATAAATAATAAATAAAAAAAGGATCAATAAAAATAGCAATACTATTAATGATACACAACTAATTAAAAACAGTCAATCATATATATACATTACACTAAATTAATTACTAAAATTCAGAAACAGTTAAAGATAATGTTCAACTGTTTTTACCATGATTCCTCAAACATTAAATTACAAGCTGGTGATAAGTGGTCATGGAAATTTGTAAAATAGCAATAAAGTATTAACAAATAATGTCTATGATACATTTCAAAATTGTATGATACTGAAAAAAGAAGAAAAAAAATATATATATACATAAAAAAAGGTTCTTATTTAAAAGTGAAGCAGCCATAAACACTATTGACTAGCTTGTAATAGATATTCAACAGGGATGTAAGGGTAATATATGAAACCAAACAGGGCCACTGCACTGGTTTATAAATCAAGAATTTTTGCGAAGGACACATTCAATTTTGACGCACTTGGCTGATCTTATAAATATTAAGCTATTTATCTATTAGTGTAAAAAGAAACAATAATAAAATTAGACATAAGCAAAAGCTGATATAGAAATTACTGTTAGGGTAAAAATTACTGTGACATTTGCAATGACTCAAACTATCACCATGGCCTGTGTAGCTTTGACTCTATGGCCAATAAATCTCTCAATCATGTACATAATAGCACAACGAAGGTCGAACTGGTTCCTTTATGACAATACACTGCAAGGGATATCTATATGGTCTCTATCTTGCAAAAATATACATGGAAAAATCTCATTGGTCTATGCTGGAGCTCTGAAGGTACAGGCAAATGTAATTACTTATCCAATATCTTATGGTACCTGACCATAGCACAACTGCATGAAGTAATCACTGATCACAGTAACTTCCTGTAAATTTTCAGAAAATACCTACACTTGTAGATCGCAAGTAACATGCTGATTATTTAGAACTTCAGCAACACTTTAATCATAATAGATCACATCAAGTTTCACGTGGATTAAGGAAGAATGCAAGTGACGAAATTACTCGTAAAAATCTCATTCCGAGTGCCGCTGCAGGTGTCTCCCTAACACTTGGCCAAATTTCAAGTGGAAGTGGAAAGAACAATGGTTATATATCTATGAGGAGAAAATTTCATTTTGAGAGATTTAAAGGCACTGTAAACTCTCCAGAAACCATTCTCATTTTCAGCAAAGTTGCAAATGGGGATTGGTGTTCACTATTTTTCTGTACAAAAGAATCATGGACTATTTACATAAGTGACTTGCCTACTATTCAATTTCAATACTTTCTGCATCTTTAAAACATAACAAGCCACATACAATACAACATATATATTGCTAAACCACTGTTATAGAGACAAAGAGGTCTATGTTAATTTTCTACTAAGTCTTGTCTGTTTCCTTCTTCTTTCTCAGTTTCGTTTAAATCTTTGTTTCATCTTATTTATTACCAACACAACATAACATGAAAATTAATATTCTGTCTGCCTTCTGTATCTTGCAAAGAAAAAAATCATGGGGGAAGATTCCATGTGTAACTAGTTTAGTGAGGCACCCAGCCAGCTGTTAAACTAATCTAACTCCTTTATCCAAGCCCAAAAAGAAAATAAAAGAATAATACCAGAGAAAAAAGAAGGAATATTTTATTCAGATTACCTCCACCACCCCCAAAAAAAATCCCAAGAACCAATTTCCTAAAAAAAAAAAAAAAAAAAACTTATCCAACCTCCATACCTATACATCCACATCACCACCTACAAAACCTTCCCCCTCTTTCTTATTTAACTAAATAACACACCCATTGGCCAAAAAAACATCGACACAAACCCCCCCAAAATGCCCATAGAACCCCAAAACCCCATTACCTTCAGCCTTTTCTTCGCCATTCCGGACGTCTGAGCACGAAATGAGACGCAACAGCTGACTCTCTCTCTCTCTGTCTCCCTAAGGTATGACGTGTCTGGCGTGTGTGAGGGGGACTCTCTCTCTGGAAACTCTCTTCCCTCTGCTCAGCTGCCCTTCTCATCGGCTAGGATAACTCCTGGCTGCTGGATTTTATTCATGGGGGTATTTTTGGGAAGAGTATTATTATTTTTTACCTCCCGTTTTTTTTTTTAAAGGGGGGTAGGGGGGGTTTAATTATACATGTATGGTTTCTTCTCGAGGGCGACGGGGGGATGGAAAAGTCCCCGAGAATATAGTGGGGTTTTGTTATTACCTCTTATAGTGGGGTTTATCATAATGGGGTTTATTATAGTGGGGTTTATTATCACCTCTGGATCCTTTTTTTTAAAGTCCCCACGAGAAAGAGACCAACCCGCACTCACTACGTCAAAGGGGGAGGAGTCAATGAACTCCCCCTCCTCCTATAAGCCCCCCACGCCCCCCCTCCCCTCCCTCCCTCCCCATGGAACGTTGCCGAAGACGCCCCTGCGAAGACGTGTCCCCCGTGACGTCTCCTACAGGTACGCTGGCTTTGACCTTACTTTAAGGGCCTTGGGTGACCTTGGCAGTCGGACTTGGGGGATTTTTCGGATACAGGGAGGTTTTGTGTGTCGGTTGCAAGAGGCAGGTTGGGGGGAGGGGGTGGCGTGGGGGCGATTTAAAGGGATTAATTACCTGGACTTTCCTCTTGGACTTCCTCTTCTCGGCCATGATCGCCTTGTGTGTCAGTGGAGTGGTTGGGGGATTTTTTTTTCTGTTTGTTAATTAATTTGTTTAGGGGGACTTTTAAAAATTTGTTTTCATATTTTTATTGACGATGTAGCGTTTAATTTTAGTTTTGTTTAAGGTCGCAGTGAAATATTGATGTAATGTCAAGCGCGCAAGACTATAGGTTCTGATTTGACTGTGTGGCGGCCGCTTATACTGCATTTCGCTTTTTATTATTCTTATTACTCTCTCTTTCTTCCTTCATTCTATTGAAAAACGGAGAAGGAGAATATCATTAAGTAGTCGGATATATGATATTTACGAAAGAAATAGCTATTGCCATACAAGAGATGTGCATTAAACCGATGTTCTGTAAATGCGTGCGATAAGACCTCTCCTCTTATCTCTCTATCAATTAAATGAATCAATAAAACTTTCATTATATTAAAGAATAAAATGACTGTCACCTAACTTTCCTGGATTAAAAAAAACAAAGAGCTTCTACGTCTGTGTATTTTGATATCAAGCAAAGGGTTTTGCACCAAAGTCACTTGACATTTATGGGGGGGAAAGAATGTCATGAAATATGCAGTCACCAGGAAGTATGACGCAGTAGCCTGGCTCGTACACTCTGCCATGTCAGCGTGCACAGGTATACAGAGGGTTTTGAAATTGTATATGCATGTCATGCACCTAATGCACTGACTATCGTACAAATAAATGGACACGCACCCACACAGATAACTACCAAAATGTATATATGTATATGTATGTGTGGGTGTATATATGTATTTGCTGATGTGTAAATGTGTACATGCAAATGTGTGTATGTATGTATGTATGTATATATATATATATATATATATATATATATATATATATATGTATGTGTGTGTGTGTGTGTGTGTGTGTGTGTGTGTGTGTGTGTGTGTGTGTGTGTGTGTGTGTGTGTGTGTGTGTGTGTGAGTGTATGTGTATGTGTATGTGTATGTGTATGTGTATGTGTATGTGTATGTGTATGTGTATGTGTATGAGTATGTGCATGTGCGTGTGTGTGCGCGTGTGCTTGCGTAAGTACGTGCGTGCGTGCGTGCGTGTGTATGTGTGCATGCGTCCGTATGTAGGTGTGTGTGTAGGTGTGTGCGTGCGTGTGTGTGTAGGTGTGTGCGTGCGTGTGTGTGTAGATGTGTGCGTGCGTGTGTGTGTAGGTGTGTGCGTACGTGTGTGTGTGTAGGTGTATGCGTGCGTGTGTATGTGCGTGTGCGTGTGAGTGCGTGAGTGCGCGCGCTTGTGTATGTATGTAATTATATATAGTAAACTGCAAAAATTACATCCATAGTGACAGCGTCCCGTTACACCGTTATACTTGGCAAAGTATGTCATTGCTTAGGCCACGAGAACGGCAGACTTTTTTTTCATTTCTTTTCTCCCTTCCCCTTTCATTTTCTTCTTGCCATTTTTCTTTTTCGTTCTCATTGTTGTCATCATTATCATTATCATCATCGCCTCCATCTTCATTTATATCATTATCGTTACTATCACCACCACCGTCACTATTTCAACCACAACTATCACCACCACCGCCACTGTTGCCACAACCACCATCACCACTAACACAACCATCACTATTACCACCACTGCTGTCACTACTACTACTGGTATTGTCACTACCGTCTCCCCTTATCAGTATTACCGCATCTGTTTCTATAATATTCATGCTAGAATTAGTATACTACATCTACTGATACTGTTACAACAACAACAGCAGTTACTACTACTACTACTACTAGTACTAGTGCTAGTAATAGTTCTACTACTACTACTACTACTACTAGTAATAGTAATAATTCTACTACTACTACTACTACTACTACTACTACTACTACTACTACTACTACTACTACTACTATTACTACTACTACTACTTCTACTATTACTACTACCACTACTATTACTACTACTACTACTACTACTATTTCAAATACTGCAACTACTACTACTACTACTGTTACTACTGGTGTTACTGCTACTATTATTACTCTTACTACTACTACTATTAATATTACTACTATTACTAGTGCATTTCTTTTCTGCTACTATTTTTTTTTCATCAATAACAATAACACGACGATGATAATTATAATAAAGAAAAAGAAAATGGTACTCTGATAGAAAGAATAATAGTGAATATTAATAGTGATAATAAGATAATGATAATGATAATGATACTAATAATTTACAATAGTAATGATAATAATGACAATAGTTATAATGGTGATAATGTCAATGATGACGATGATAACGATAATAATAATAGTAATAATAATAGTAATAATAATAATAATAATAATAATAATAATAATAATAATAATAATAATAATAATAATAATAATAATAATAATAATAATAATGGTATGATAATAATAATAATAATAATAATAATAATAATAATAATAATAATAATAATAATAATAATAATGGTATGATAATAATAATAATAATAATAATGGTGATAATGAAAAAAATAATAACAACAACAACAACAGCAGCAACAGCAGCAACAGCAATAACAACCACAATAACAGCAACAACAACCACAACAACAACAACCACAACAACAACAACAACAGCAATGATAACGTCATCATAATTGATAATAATGATGATAGATAAGATAATACTGATCTTTGATGTCTTGCATATTTACTTTGCTTTGTAACCATTAGCGATTAATCATGATGATCCCAACGAACCATGCACTGTATAGTTTTATTTCTTAAAAAACAAGTTAGAAACACGTGTCCTTGGGGAAAATCCGTGTGCTTTCTGAGAACGTCATGCTTCTTGTCTAGAGATTTACTCATCGTCACCATCATTATCAAGTTCACATACGTAGTTCTGAAGTTGACGCGAATTTTGGTTACCAAATACGGATTTCAACCAAGTAATCTTATGTCACTGAATGAAGGATGTAGGTGACTTGTCGCTCTACTTGGCAACGAGTTCAAGCTTACGTCATTATCTACCTTTGTACATCCATTTAGGTAACACCGAGGGACTCCGGTACTAGAACTACGTATTAAATGTCACGCTTTGATTGCTTAAATGTATATAAAAAAAAGTACGATAATCTTTAGCGCAGACGGTTTAGCATGATTTCGTTACTTGCAAATATGGATCTTGCTTTAATCAGCAAGAGGCTTGTTTTGGTTAAGAAACTGCGTAGCAAACTTTAAAATTGCTGATTCAGTTCAGATTCGGGATAGTCACATCATAACACCAAGCAGTCAGTGGTTTATCATTTATGTTAGTTATCTTCGTTGCCTTTTATATCGTTATCTTATATAAAGAGTAATTTAGTAGGTTACTGTGGCCAGTAGAGTACGTTTTAATCAGAATCTATTGTGTGTGCTCATATTCCTATAACACTGGATAATTTAGAAACCAATTTGAAACACATGTTGTAATTTGGTATGTTTGAGAAACTTATAATGTAACTACATTTCTTTCCCCAGGACAAGATGGAGGCTATACTCTTCGCTGTCCGAACAAAGTACAAGGATGTAACCCACATCAGCACCGAGGAGCTTGCTAGCTGGTTAGACCCACAAGACAATGCTGTAAGTGCTGGCCTTTCAAGTGATCTTTCAAACACGGATGGGATGGTTCCTGAGTCGCAGGGAGGAGCAAGAGATCAAGAAGCTAAAGAACTTTTGGATCAGGGTAATATAATTTTGCTTGATGTTCGTGAGGAAGATGAGTATAATGTGAGTCATCTTGAAAACGCTAGGAGAGTTAGGGACAGCCTCAATGCAGAGGAAGTTGAAGAACTCCTTAAAGAGGTCTTGAAGCCATTTAACGAAAAGGAGCCAGAAGAGGTGCTCAAGATAGTTTGTTACTGTTCCCTTGGATATAGGTCTTCTGACTTGGCTAGAAAGTTGAAGACCCAAATTGATAAGGTGAAGCCATCCACTTCCTTGCAAATATTTAATCTGGAGGGCTCTATATTTAAATGGGCCAATGAAGGTCGTAAACTCGTTGACAATTATGGGAATGACACTACTTATGTCCATCCTTACAATATGGTTTTTGGAATGACGCTGAAGAAATGTTTGCACAAGTACAAGTAACATGAGATGTAATAAAGCATATGTTTTCATCTGTTTCTCTGTTGTTCTGGTGATGGTAGTTTCCAGTGAATGATACAAGTTCACAGCTTTATTGATTAACTTCACTTATCCATCAGATTATGTGTAGTATTGTCAGTGCATGCAGATGTAGAAAACCATTTTGGGTGAACTTTAATAATAGTCTTTTGCCAGTCTTTTCAAAGATATAAACAGGTACCTTTTAATCATGTTTTGGGAAAAGTATTTGCACAACTTCACAAATTTTGTACTATATATCAATCTTAATATTAAAAATTACTGGTAATTCATTCCAAAAGCTTCTAGTCTGGCTAAGCAAGAAATCTTAACTTGAGTTTGCACTTAAAATTTGACTTCAGGAAAAATTTACTTTTCTAGGTCTCGATTGTGATAAGATACCAAAGACATTTGATATCATATAGCCATAGTATTATACATATCAGTAATAGGTATTTATATTAATGGAAGTTTAAAATTATTTATGTAAAAAAAAATCCATTCATTTTCTTAACAATATGCTGACTGTACCACAGATTATTTTCTTAATTATGTAATATTGTGTGATAATTATAGTGATAATCATATTGTCAGTACATTCCATTCTAGTAATTTACATTTTGTATGATTGTTGGTGTAAAGTCTAAAATATAAATATATTTAAAATATTGAATATTTTATTTTAAATCCATCAAAACAATATGGACATATGCAAAGTTAATCTTTATTTCTGGGTAAAATAAAACAAATTTTTGCTTTGTCTTTTAGATTTTATGTTAAGAAATACATAATTACATCATAGAGAAGTAATGAAATAGACAAACGATTCATGATTGTTGTTCTTAAATGATATATACAAGGGTGTTTCTCAAGGAAATACTTGAGTGAAGGGAAAAAAAAAATATTGGGTACTTGAAAGAGACACCGAAATATAAACTTAATTATTTTGTTAGCAGTGTACATATCATTACACTCATATAAAATATATCACAAGTAATGTACTCAATTACCATTACCTTTTGTGTTCACTTTCAAATTCCCAAAGATTTTTATGTGATTTGACGAGCGATCATGAACCTTTTGTAGCATCTCCTTAAGGATCACCTTCCCTCATCACAACACACATATGCACAACTGAGAAGCTCCATTGTGTATCAGTACATGAGCAGCAGAAACTTTTATTATTTTCCAAAATTTCATACAAAAATATGATTAATCTTTCATATACAAAAATGTGATTTGTATTTCTTAAGGCATATCCATTATGAAAGTCTGTAATTTTTGATAATTCACTCAATATAACGGAAGAACCTTGTATGATTTAATTGCCGAGATATATATATATATTTTTTCCACAGTGTTGTAGGATTAGCAATAAAGTACTTCCAGACAAGCTCGGCAATTCTTAACCATCTCTTTGATTTGGGTTGAGGCTTGTCTTCTTTTTTGAAAATTTTCTTCTTTTCTTCATAGTTCTTTTGTGAAAAGACAGCATCTCCACAAAGCTCAGAATTGCCTCTCCTGTCTCACATTAAAAAAAGAGGGGGAAAAAAAAAAAAAAGACAGCAAAGTGCACACTTTTCACTGGTGATCAGTGTCCAGGCAAATTAAACTTAAATGAGCTTTGTAGCCTCAGATTTGTGTGATTCTGGTGTGGAGCTGAGTGAAGATCAGGGTTGTCACTCCAACACTTTTGTTTTAAAATGAGTTTTATCCCCTACTGTATATGGATACGCACAGGCATTCTTGGGTTGCCTGGAAAACAGGGATAAAGCCCGGCATTTTATAAAAGTATGAAATGTATTTTGTGTCAAATTCTTGGCAATGCATATTATTATCCCTCAATTAATTGATAAAAAAGAAACAAAAACAAAAAACAAAAATATATATATATTAGAAAAGTTAATAATCATTGGATAAGAGTAGACACTAACTGGCTGAATACAATACCATACTCAGGTTGACATAGCCTTTCCTCTGTTACAGAATGCGACAATTTGTCTTGTGTACATAGGCAACAAATTTTGGTCTTATTCAAAACAATGATTTTTTTTATTTGCTATACACTGACTAGCTTATTCTTCCTTCAAAAATAAACTGCTGTCTCATAATTTGTCTTCCAAATTGCCCTCATGAAACCAAATTCTGCAACAAAGTCAATGTATATCAACTAACCAAAGAAAGTGCCTGCTGTTATCCTGTTAACATAAAATCTTCAACATGAATTGATGACCACCACTACTAAAATTTCTTCCTAAAAGAACTGGGAGAAAGAGAATTGTCGGTCGTCAACAATGCTGAGCTTACAACCAGTTTGACTCGATAACAAATTGAAGAATTAATATGGTACAGTATTATACTTCTAAAGCAACATTATAATGCCAAACATATCTGATGAGGCCAGACTAGAGTAATTATCAGGAGTAGTTGTTTGTTTGTTCAGCAGCAAAAGAGTAAACTGCAAAATTATCAAGTAGTTTACATCCACCATTTTGTATTTGCTCAACTTTTGTGAGAAAAAAAGGGAAAAGCAAGTCTTCAGTCACCATGTTAATCATCCTGATATTGGAAGAATAGAAAAAGAGAAAAAATATCCTAAGTTCTGAGTTATAAAGAAAGCAGTGAAATAAGAAAGGACCTAATGAGAAATCAGACAGAAGTTGAAATGTCACACAGTCAAACATTGAGTGATACATGCCAATCCTGAAGAAAAAAAGAAGAAAAAAAGGAAAGGATGGCAATAGTATTCTTTAAGTCCCATTCACTGTTCACTGTGTTACAAATAATACTGACATAATCTTATAGTACTGCATACTATATCGAAAACGGAAACAAAAAATGTACCAATCATGATAAAAGAAATAATTAGACACAAAATCTGTTCAATAGAAGCACCACCCTATATACAGAAAAAAATACAATAAAATAATAAATCATTATTATATCTGAAAACATGGTTAAAGAGAGATAAGATACACCTTGCAGTTGCAATAACATATGCACTGTACAAATCAGTGAGTTGGATCTTTTGATGCAATAGGGTTATAGAATGCTATGTGGGTTCAGTACAACTTTTATCAACATATGAAAATAAATCTTGGGATTGTTCATAAAATGAATTATTGGTATTGATACACACATTCTATTTCTTTGAAGCACATCAAAACAAGAACCAGTTTGAAAAATATGATCGAAATGTTGGAGAGTGATGCAATCAATAATTCATTTTTAACATACCCAGTAATCTAAACCAGCAACTGTACTTTTTATGCCCTTTGCCCATCCTGTTTAAATTACATACCATGGCATTTTTGTTATTAATTTTTGACATGATGGGTTGATTCCTTAAAATGGAAAGACAAGCACATTTTGACCATTTTGAGAGTGAGAGAATCGGCTATCTGGACCCTTTATATATTTTTCTGGTTTATTTTGACTTATGATAATCACATGCACACATCTGCACGAATCACCTAATACATGTATCTCTTTCTGTGTTACAGTATTACAATTCAGGTCTGTGTTATGAAGGTCATCCATTGACTTATTTAACAATGACTTCAACCAGCAAGTTTTAAAACAGCTCTCAGAAGGATTTTGTATTTTCACAATCTTTTGATCATGAAATGCACCATACAAAAATCTTACTAAATTGCTGGTCCTACCAATTTCATGGAAGCCCCGATATTCCATGATCAGCACTTGTAATATTTCTTTTTTCTTTCAATGAGGTCAAAACCAGTGTGATCACGAAATTTGGTAAAAGCTTGCATTCATATTGTACAACATGAATGAGTTTGATGAAAAAAAGGATGTGACTCGCCGCTGCTTGTCTTGACTGCGGTCATTGTCTTCCATGAACACTGGAGCAATTGTAAAAACTGGCCTATAATCACATTTCTGTATTGATAATGAAAAACAGTCTTTATGTTATTATACAGTGTTGGGCTGTACGTGTTGAGAAATGTACTACACATCAACTGCAAAATTACTTAAGATAATGCTTATGAAAGTACCCTGATCCAATGGAGATAAACAAGAAAGGGAATTCTGGTTAGATAACAATGAGCCACACGCTTCTCAGAATTTTAGCAATTAGTTGAACTGTATGACGGCCAAATGTGTGTGGACTTGTCGTATCCACCTTCAAACCCTTCTCATTAGGAAAAGCCCATCTAGTACAAATCCATAGCACAATAGTCACTGGTTTCTTCTTTTATTTTTCATTTTTACTTTTAAAATAATCCTCAACCAATCACCGTCATGGCCATTATTGTAACTTTCCAGTTTTTTTTTTTTCAGATGAAACTGCATTGGAGGAGGAGGAGGAGGAGGAGGAGGAGGAGGAGGAGGAGGAGGAGGAGGAGGAGGAGGAGGAGGAGGAGGAGGAGGAGGAGGAGGAGGAGGAGGAGGAGGAGGAGGAGGAGGAGGAGGAGGAGGAGGAGGAGGAGGAGGAGGAGGAGGAGGAGGAGGAGGAGGAGGAGGAGGAGGAGGAGGAGGAGGAGGAGGAGGAGGAGGAGGAGGAGGAGGAGGAGGAGGAGGAGGAGGAGGAGGAGGAGGAGGAGGAGGAGGAGGAGGAGGAGGAGGAGGAGGAGGAGGAGGAGGAGGAGGAGGAGGAGGAGGAGGAGGAGGAGGAGGAGGAGGAGGAGGAGGAGGAGGAGGAGGAGGAGGAGGAGGAGGAGGAGGAGGAGGAGGAGGAGGAGGAGGAGGAGGAGGAGGAGGAGGAGGAGGAGGAGGAGGAGGAGGAGGAGGAGGAGGAGGAGGAGGAGGAGGAGGAGGAGGAGGAGGAGGAGGAGGAGGAGGAGGAGGAGGAGGAGGAGGAGGAGGAGGAGGAGGAGGAGGAGGAGGAGGAGGAGGAGGAGGAGGAGGAGGAGGAGGAGGAGGAGGAGGAGGAGGAGGAGGA